TAATGCTCGCACCTAAATCCGTCAATGAATTTTCTATATGGGATGCTCCAATGCAAAGAGGGATAGTGAAACTACGTGGATCTTGTTGCTTTTCAGGAAACTTGTTTTGAATGAAGGTCGAGCACTCCTTGCCCAAGGTGACGGTGGCGAGGTCTTCAAACTTTTTCTTCTTCGCAAGCAGCCCCTTTAGGTACTTGGCATGCGCGCCATTGCCTCCAAAAAAGACATGGTAATGTGGAGCTTCTGCTGGAAATGGCTTATCCGAGTGAGTTTTACGGACCCACTGGACCAGAAATTTCTCAAGCTCAAGCTTTTGGTTGAGCCGGACTAACCAAGTCATATCGGTTTTAGGTTGGACCAACCAATCGGTTTGGAATTAGACCGACCGAACCGATATTCTAATTCCGTGAAGGGACATGTCCATTTGGCCTATGGATAAGGATAATCTTATTGATAAAGGCAACGCTTCATATGGATAAGGACAACCTTTCATATGGATAGTGACAACCTTTCATATGGATAAAGACAACATTTCGTATGGATAAAGGCAACCTTTCATGAAACAATGCATGGATTAGGCCCTATAAATATGTGTGTGGGGTGGATGATGCGACATACAATTAAACAGATTCTTCTTCTTTCTTCCAAAAATTTCTTAGTATGCTTTAGAGTTCTTGAGCCTAGAACCTAAAGTGGTGATAGTTTTATCTTCAGGAGAAATTTCCTTTAACCCAAGGCTTTGAAGAGGGTGGAAATATTCTTTTCGGAAAGTGAACGTGGTTCACGACTCTATCATAATCCTGATCACTCGGTCCCAGGCTTTTGTAAGTACACCCTTGTCCTAAAAGTCCTAAAAATCGAAAAGAATATTTTCCATTACGATAGCTCGAACCGCTCTTTACAAGAAATCGGTTTCCGGTCTATGGAATTATGAGAATGTTCGATGATGAGTTTTTCATCGATGGCAGTAGAAGATGTGTTTTCTTCGTACTATTCTCATGGTGTATTTCATATCGGGAAGGTAACTTGAAAGAGGGATGATTCGAAGATGAGGAAGAAGAAGAATGCTTCATAAAATGGAGAAATAGAAGGATGACAATTGCCTTTGTGTAGGTCACATAGTCAAGGGTTAATTAGCTTAATTCTCTATTCGACATTTACGAAGTTCTAGATAAATTTGGATTTGTCTAGTGGTTTGGTGGTGTGATTTTGTCTAGTCGTTTATGTTATTTTAAACCAAGGAGACAAAATGTATACACAATTTATGATGATTCTGGTAATGGAGTCATCCTACATTTGTATGTATATGACATCCTTATCTTTGGACCAATAAAAGATAAGTGAACTTTGATAAAAAGTTTTTATTTCAATTCTCCATGTAGGACATGGGGGAGGCAAATGTGATTCTCTGTAATGAATCAAGCGGCACGACAAAGAAGATTCCTTCTCTCAATTTTTCTGCATTGAGAAGATACTCGCAAAAATTCCATAGTAGGAATTGTCGTGAGTAAAAAAAAATCAAAGAATTCAAGTATGGAACTTATAGTTAATACTGCCCAACCAGTTTTACAACTGGAGTATTTCATGTTAAATTGGGTGCTTGATGTATGCAATGACTTGCATAAAACCATATATCGCGTTGTGGTATGATCATTAAGTTAGTGTTTGAGAAATCCTAGTGCTCAACATTTGGTATTGAATGAGGCGTGTACTAGGATATTTCAAAGACACATTGTATTGACTTATAGTGGGTTTCCATCCACTTTGTAAAGATTTATTGATGTTAGTTGGATTTCTCATGTTAAAGGTGATACTTCAACATCGAGATGAGTCATCTTGCTTGGGGGAGGTGCCATATTTTGGGCCTCTAAAAAGCAACCTTGCATCATTGGTTTCATTATGGAGTCAAATTGTGTGGTGGTTGATACTATCTTTCTGTAGTAATGGTAATTTGGTTAAGGAGTGTAGCCAAGTGAAAATGGAAAGTACGGTTTTGTCGGAGTTATGCACAGTAAAATCTATGAATTTATCACTCATAGTGTCGCAACCGTCCCCTCGGGGGGTTCGAGGTCGCGTTCGCTTTTGGGAGTCGCCATCGATCTTACTTAGAGTGGATTGAACACTCTTCGGTCGGCTCTAACCTTAGGGTCAGAACCGAGACATGGTCTGCGAAAATAAAGTTTTGGGTTCGGGAGTATAGTTACGTGTGGGGAAGTGAAATCACACCTCACAATGCCCTAAATCGATACTACTTAAGTTGATAAGTTTTATATTAGTTGGGTGTATTTTAGTAATTATGTATTTTTTTTAAAATCCTAATCGACCATTACTGTATTGCTATTTCATTAGGTATAATTTAACTAAACGTCCATGGACGTATTAGTTTATGATTAGGTATTTAGGTATTTTAGGGCCTTACTGGACCACTAACGAATTTAAATCGTATTAGTTGTAATTTAATTATACGCCCACTGACGTAAAAATTGAAGATAAAATTGATTAGTTAGTTGGACTTGAAACTTATCGGTTGCCTAGGTACCCGTAATACAGGATCAAAGTCCACGTAGTTCGTTCGAACTTTGATAACTTAATTGAACCACGTTCCACTGATCGTGATTCTCGCATTAAAGATTTTTTTAAATAAAATTTGAATAGGTTATTACGAGGTTATTAAGAGAAACATAATAATGTTAGTTTTTAGGAAGATAGTTGACGTATTAGAAAAGAAACGGGATTAACTTAATCCGCATTTGAAATTTCGTATTAAGAATATTAAACAATAAAATGAAACGGAATGATTAAATCTACGCATGATGGGCCAGCAGCCCAACTGGCTAAAGCGCCAATTGTATAGCACATTCGTACCTGAGGACACGTGTTCAAAACTCGCTCTCGATTTGCCCTTTCTCTCGAATCTGTCCACCCCTTTCTCTCCTCGATTCTGGAAGTGACAGGAAAAAAAAAGGGAGGAGATAGCATTGATGGCGGCGCTTGAGGCAAACACCGTCGTGACGAATACAAGAGGGCGTCGATCCGGGTAAGATCGGTACACGCATGATTATTTCTAGGTTTGATTTTGTTCTTATTTATTTACTAGCTTTTTACCCGGCCCGTTGGGCGGAGAGATTTATTTTATAATTTATATTAATTAACTTATTTATATGTTTAAATCATTTTGGATCTTCTAAATATTTTGTGCTCTTGATTCATAAAAGAGTTTGTAGTATTTCTATATTGAAATTTTCCAATATTTAGCACACTCACTTCTGATGCTTCGGTTTTCTAATCATAAATTATGCCGCTGTCACGTCCCATTTATAACTTATGTCAAAATTTGTCAACCAAAACACTAATATTTAGCGTACGCCAACCTGAACCACACACACTACCATACGACCATTGAGTTTTACTATTTAGACTCCGGAGTTTTTTGGGGCATGATAATATACCCTAACCTCTAATAGGTGAACTCTAATTCCTAATTCTCTAACCTCTAATTAAGAGTGGGTGCACTGAGTGCACCCAAAAAAGTGAGTGCGCCGAAGTAGCCACCATATATATATATATATATATATATATATATATGGCAAAGGCAAGCGTACACCCGACGTACCTTATACGTCTATGTTCACACTAGAAAATTAATTATTTAAATATTTAACTCTAATTATTAGTATATTAGTTATTAATGATAATTAAAATTCCAACGACATCCATTAATTATTGTTGTTTAAGTTTTAGTCCCCCCTAAATCTCCATTGTTGCCCCAACACTAAGAAGAAGTCGACGCACGCCATTGCCATCATAGGCTTTCCCGAGACTAACAATCCTCGTCGGCCACCAGCCGCCGCCGATGATCTTAACGATAAGAAAGCACAGTCTGGTGATGATTGTTCATCTCGATGTTGTGGTGCAGCCACTCTCCTCATCTTGCTCGTCCTGTTTGTGGTGGTCGCCGGAGGTGAGTTTGCGGCAGTGACAGATAGGTATGATATCAATTATTAATGTTCAATGGGGAAACATTAAAGAATGTCAATCAATGAGAAAATTTGACTAGTTTCACCTTCCACGACAATATAATCCCGAAGCTCCCTGCTCCCCCGCCTCTAATCGCCAGAAAACCTTTTCCCCCTGCTGTGAGCATCCATGTAGAAAGCATCATTTGTACTTTCTAACCAGAGACCCGAACCCTTCATTTCCAAAGTGTTCGCTAACTGGCAGGGTGAGGTAGAGGTTGTCGAGAATGCTAGATGGGTACTCTGTTTCGCAATCACATAGTTTAAGCTCTCCAAGCCAGCATCATGCTTTGAACCAACGACGTCAAGAGACGATATAGGCCTTCTTGGTGAGGTACAAAATTCCTGCGTAATCGTGGGCGCAGCTGCGGACTCTTATCCGAATCCTATATTCCTTGCTGCAGAATCGCGCGGGTCGAAAGGATGAAAATGAGGATTGGCTTGGATTTGGAGTTCAAGTATCTGAGGTTTTGGACTCTCCAGCCCCGAAGGAACGAGAATAGAGAAGATTGAGGATGGATACACGACATCAATTTTGTTTAATTTCATGCTCTGTACTTCACAAATGAAAGTTTCTCTCTCTAGGTTTTAGAACTTGTTGCGTCAACTGGGAAGAAGAAATGAATATGGTTTTGCTAAGCTTTAATCGTTCGACTGTAATGGGCTTATTGACCCACTTTGAATAAACGTGAAGCTAAAATAGCAAAGCCCACATTATTCTTACGATGGTAAAGAACATTTGGGACTAAATTGTATTGAAAACTAAATTCATAGATTTTATCGTAATTGTAATTATGATCAATTATTGATTTAATTGTAATTAATTAAAACAATACCAAGTGTGAACACAGACATACAGTGTACGTCAGGTGTATGCTAGCCTGAACCATATATATATATATTCAACCCGACGATGAAGTGTGGTAATTGACTTACGGAATTCGGTTCAGATAGGCGAGACTATACTTGAGAATCAGTTTATAGCTGACTGATATTAACCAAGTTGCCGGCGAATAGAGTGCCGGAGGGAAGCTTCTATCGACCGACGGTGAAGTATGTTAATTGACTTTTGAGATGATCACAAACCGGAAATTTGGTTCAGAGACCAAGAATGGGCGGGGTGAGACTAAGATTGAAGAAGCTCTCATTTATAGAAATCACAACTCACATCACAAGCACCATAAAAGCGAGACAGGAAAGTTAAAACGGAGAAGGGGAAAAGATAGTCGACATATAAAAAGTATTGACTTGAACAGAAACGTCACAAAAGCTACTTAGAGGCTCCTAAAGATTATTCCTTAACAGCAAAACGCCCAATGGGGACTGCATAGCTACTGACGCAACTCGGGGCGGACGAAGTCTGCATCTGCAGTCACAGAAATGTCGAGGGTTGGTCTTAGCTGGGCACAGACTTCAACAGCTCCATGGACCGGGTCAGATAGGAAGTTGCTGATGAGGTCCTTGTTCACAGAAGCCCCAGCAGCATCCACAGCTACGAAGGCCTGTTGTGTGAGGATGTAATCGAATCGCGGGGCCCATTTTCTTGATCCCAGACGTGCTGTGGTGGAGCAGTTATCAACCATAAAGGAAACTCCGCGAGCATGCATGAAAGGGTTCAGGGAATCCACGGCCTCAATCAGACTTTCATTAATGATCTCAGAATAAGAATGACCCTTCTTCCTCAACACCTCAATCTGAAATTTTCAAAAGACAGATGTTGGATAAAAAGGGGTTCAGAAAATCCAACAAAGTTCGAACTTCAAATTGGTACGATTGAATCCAATGCGGTTCAAGTTGTTATCCTAACTTAGAATTTGTGAATGAAAGCCAGATCAAACATGAAACAATACTATTATGGATGTACCTGAGCCATCATCAATGCCACGAAAACACCAGCAGTGAAAGGATGCATTGGTCCCAAGTCTCCCTTTGGCCGTGTTGAACGAACACGCTCCCCCACCTTCCACATCCGAGTTTGATCGATCTTGCCCATTGGGAAAGCTGGGAGGCCTTCCTTCTCCTATTAAACAGTTGAACAGATGGAAAGAGGAAGTTCACTACAGAGTGATAATATATATCAAGATGACAAGATTAAGCACAGCTGTATGAAGCTTTACATAGAATCGACGCCCAGCCAAAACAACGCTACGGATCTCACTGCCACTGGCTACATCCTCATAGCACTCGTACAATATATCCATGCAAGGGTAGTAAGAGGAGCTATAAGCAAGCTCAAACTCCTTCTTCTCATCTTCAGACAAGGAGTTGTAAACTGACAACATGCCCTGCCGAATGAAGACAAGACACCACGACAAAATGAGAACCACAAACAAAGTATTGTTGTACAGGAGCACAGAAAAGAGAAAGCACAAGCATGTCATATTAGAGAGCTCACAGAGTAATACCAACCTTTGTTGAGATGGTCCTTGACACAATACCAGTTATGCACTCAACAGTGTTCTTGTACGCCGAATCCTCATCCATTCCATTTTCTGTGTATCTTCTAAACAAGCATTCAACAGCACCATGAACAGCACCAAGCAGTATACCTACAAGGCCACAGCAAAGAACAATGAGACACTTAGCAGACAAGGTTCTAGCAACAGATTGATGCAATCAATTGAAGCGAGAAACTTACCGCGCTCCCCAAAAATATCACTCTTATACTCCTGCTCCAATGTGGTGGCAAAAGTGAAAGGAGAGCCAAGAGCAACGGACCAACCCAAGGCAACATCTGTTGCTCTACCATCAACATCCTGTGTCAGAGATAATAAAAATCAGGTGACTTTCCAACAACTGAAAAAGATTAGGAGAAGCAAATATAAACAGAAGCCATCACGAAAATGAGAAGATACCTGGTGAACAGCAAAACTGGAGTTGATACCGGCTCCATTTATCTCTTTCCCCTGCACGTAGAGTCTCCTCACAGAAGGACCCATGCCTTTAGGGCAAACAGCAATAACACTGATATTTTTAGGGAAATCAATACCCAAACTCTGCAGATGCCCCAAGAGAAAACCATGGGAAAGACCAAGGATGCTGTTTGGCTTCATATGAGAGAAGATCTTCTCAAAGTTATCAGCCTGCAGGGAGCAAGTTACAAGAGTGTCAGCGCTCTTGCTTGCTGGAATGAACCTCAACAAGTAACCTTTAGAGGGCCCATGGAGAAGTAACGAACCTGAGCTGAATCTGAAATAAGTAGCATGACAAGATCGCTTCCAGAGATGGTTTCCCACATGTCTCCTAGAGTTCCATCCTCTTCAGAGAATCCAGCAGCACGAGCCTCAGCAAAAGAGCGAGAACCCTTCCTCAGACCAATCTGCAATGAGGATACAAATGCACATCAAGCTAAAGAAACAGCTGCACGGCTCATCGAACACTTATAAAGCACCGACCTTAACAACAATATTAGATTTGGCCTCTGCAAGAGAATCCTTCAGGTTCTGAGCTTGAGCAGGCGCCTGAGACCGAACAAAAATGGGTTATCATTTCACTTAAAGTCGAAACGCCACTAAAAGAAAAGCAGCAATAAGGACAATACAGAAGGAAGTTGATGAACCAGTATATAACCAGATGAGAACCTGAGATCCCCATCCAATAACTCCAATCTGCTTGATTCCCTTGAAAGCATCGGGCAATAGGGGGAACAAATCCCTCCCTCCTCTCACAATGTACTGCAAAATAACATGATAAAATTAGAACAACTTCAAATGACAAAGTATGGAGAGAGACAAGAGAAAAATGTCCAAAATCGTTACTGCCCACCTCATCATGGCCGGCGAGAGTGACCTTCTCCTTCTTGAAAACAGATGTCTGGAAATCAAGAGATATCGTGGGAGCGACGGGAGGAGCCGACACCATGGTGACCGAAAGCGACGATCTTCCATTGGGGCAAGGCCGGGCGGCAATCCGAGAGATTAGGGGCTTCAGCGACCGAGATGAAGAGGATAGGAACCCGAGCGAGCTTGACACCGGAGCCTTGGGTTTTAGAGAAGAGGACGGCGTCGAAACGGAAGGGGTGACAGAAGCGGCGGATGAGGCGGCGGTGGCGGCCATTGTGAGAAACAGAAGGGGGGAACGGCTGAGAGTAGGTGGCGACTGGCGAGCTGATACAAATAATGGAAGGCAGGAAATGCAGGAACTAGGGTTTACGGGGAAGGAGAGGGGTTATCAGTTCTTCCTACCCACATTTTTTAATAGGCACGTGGTCACCTACCCAAACAGACGAAAGTCACGTGCTCACTGCTTAGACCAACGGGCTGAGATCAGGTGACTAAGGGGGGTCCCCTTAGTCACATGGCTAAGTGAATCTCCACCCTTGCACCTCATTAAAATCCAAGGGCTCCTATTAATCCAATTTAATGAAGGGCAGTATAGTAATTACATGTTTATTTTTAACTTTTAATTATAAAAGGAATAAATAAAAAATAACCCAGCCCGTTTCAGTGCCCGTCCCTTTGCGTCGGTCGCCTCCCGCCGGCCTTCGTCTCCGACCAAGGTAATTCCTGGGTCCTGGGTGCCATTATTTCAAAAGGGTCTCCTGGGCGCATTATTCCATCCCAGAGAGAGAGGGCGCCATTATTTCAAGGGCCTGGGCGCCATTATTCCGAGAGAGAGAGAGAGAGAGAGAGAGAGAGAGAGAGAGAGAGTTTTTTGGTCGGACAAATATTTTGATCGGAAATTTTTTTCCGGCGAACATCGTCGCCGGAGAAGAATTTCCCGGCGACAGCTAATTTTGTGATGTTTGTTGACATATTTTGTAATGTTTGTATGCTTTGTTATTTTGTAACGTTTGTCGGTTTTTTTGTAATGTTTGTAAACTTTGTTATTTTTGTTAACCATGTTTGTAAACTTTGTTATTTTTGTGCACCATGTTCGTAATGTTTTTTATGTCTAAAAAACACCCGGGTTGACTTTGGGAAGGAGCCCCTCTATATAGGGATGGAGCCTCCAAAGTCAACCCGGGTGTTTTTTCCCGTTCGTATGGATTGTCGGTCTAGTTTGTCATTTTTGTCCACCATGTTCGTACTGTTTGTATGTCTAAAAAACACCCGGGTTGACTTTGGGAAGGAGCCCCTCTATATAGGGATGGAGCCTCAAAAGTCAACCCGGGTGTTTTTTCCTTTTGTATGGTTTGTATTGTTTGTCGGTCTAGTTTGTATTGTTTGTCGGTCTAGTTTGTATTGTTTGTACAGTTCATACGTTTGTAATGTTTGTATGTTTTGTCGCTCTAGTTTGTACTGTTCGTATGTTTGTATGGTTTGTATTTTTTGTCAGTCTAGTTTGTATTGTTTGTACAGTTCATACGTTTGTAATGTTTGTATGTTTTGTTGCTCTAGTTTGTACTGTTCGTATGTTTGTATGGTTTGTACTGATTGTAAATCCGGTTTGTATACTTTGTAATTTTTCATAATACCCAAACTACCCCTGCTATTAATTAAATAGCCCTTCCCACTTTTTAACCATTGGATTGAAGTGTCCAGATCTAATGGCTAGGAGGGGCTTAGTCAAGTGACTAAGCACCCCCCCTTAGTCACCAGATCCGCACTCTAGACCAACTCCAATGCAAGCCCCCAAATTTGGGGATCTTCATCCCCAAATTTGGGGTTCATCCCCATTTTCCCTTCTTTTGCTCCAATGCTACATCCTCTATATTTGGAGATCTCTATTTTTTAAGTTTTTCATTTACTTAAAAATGTAGTTATCGAAGCCTTAATATAATTTGTTCATGTTAATTTTTGTATAGTTCTTCTTCATTTTTAAATACAAATTTTCCGGTAGAAATTTTTTTAATTTTGAGACCAAATTTTTGTTGACAAAAAATGATTGACCTAATTTGGGTTTACACACAACACTTGAAAATTATTGATCTAATTAAACCCCTAACTAATCCCCTAATTAAACCCTAATTAACCCTTAAAATCTTAAAAAGAAAAAGAAACGCCACGTGGCGGGCTTTGGGGAGTCTCTATATTTGGGGGAACCCCCATTTCCACCCCCAAATTTGGGGATCCTTTTGGAGATCTCCCCCAAATATAGAGGCTCCTCCATTTATAGAGGCTCCATTGGAGTCAACTTTCCCCCAAATATAGAGGCTCCCTCATTTATAGAGGCACCATTGGAGTTAGCCTTAGTCTTGGAAATGAATTACGAACCAATGTTATTAATGGTTCAAGTTTAATATAGATTATCTTGTGTCTGATTCGAGTCCAATTATACACATTTTATCCCTTATTTTTTGTTAGTTTTGCTTTGTTGATCATCGTCCCTCGACCTATTTTACACTAGGTTGTGCTCGTTTTGTTACATTTCACATCTTAGCATGTGTGGGAAGGTCGAGGATGAGTTTCAGGTCGATTAGATGTCGAAAAGCGTCAAAAAGTGAATAAAAGTCCAAAGTCACGGTTTGGACCCAATTTTAACGGTCGCATGACCGTGACAATTGCCCTAAGACCGTGAAGCGCAATAGAAACAGAAGGTTTTGGACGCCTCACTGGACCTCGACCAGTTCACAGTCCCCGACCGTGAAAAGCCGCCCCAGACCGTGAAAAGCCTCAATGAAACGACGCATTTCTGGCCGAGATCACGGTCCAAGCTTATAGTTCACGGCCATGAACTGAGACTGTGAATAGTCATCGATCTGGGTATAAAAGGGGAAGTGAGTTGAAGGAGAATGAGAGCTTTTTTCTAGGATTTTAGTTTTCAGAATAAAAGAGGGTTTTTAGTGAGAGATTAGGGTTTCATCTTCCTATTCTAGAGAGACAAAGTGTCATTCAAAGGAGGAAGAAGGAGATTTGGGTTTGTCCTAACTCCTAACTAGAGGAGTGAAGATTCTTACCTCACAAGGGAGATTCAAGCAAAAAGAAAGGAAGATTGTCATCTCTTCATGGTTCTTTCTCTCATTTTTCTTGTTTTCCCTTGCATAGCTATGGAATAGCCTCCCTGCTCACTTGGGTATTGAGAATCCTAGTCTAGATGTGTGTTATGATGTAAGAACTTGATTATATTGTGTTGATTGAATGTTTATGTAATATTTTAGGTATTTTTCATGAATGATTGAATGTGCTAGCTTTAACTCATGATTGGGTCATTTTGGCCTAGGTGGAGAGAATCTCCTTGTTGAAAGAGGTTTTGAGAAGTTGGATTCTTGGCCAATTTGTGTCACACACCTAAGCTAATTAGGAAAAACCTCAAATTAATCATGATTAGTGAGTGTTGCTTACATTATATCATTATTGGATCAAACTTAACCTAGAGGGTGGAAATCCCCATTTGGCACATAGGGAGATTGACCTCCTAGCCTCTTGGCTAACCCCTTCTAGGTTAATCTAGGGTCAAAACCTCAAGTATCGGAGTAGTATCATGATCCACCATGATTGGTTTCTCTTCGCCGTCCAGATTAAGTTCCGAGGGATTGGTTTGCAATTCTTAGTCGACCAATTAGAGGGGCTAGATCATCTAGTCTAGAGTTGCAATCCTTAACCGAAAGGTTAAGAGAGTTAGACCACTAACTTGATGCAACAATCCTAGAATGGTCAACTAAGAGAGTTAGGGTTTCCTCGGTTTGTTCGATCAAGAGATCTAGGTTTGCTAGCTTATTGCGACAATCCTTGATCGATCGACTAGGATAGCTTGTTCCTAACTAGTTGCACCCGTCTCACGGTATATGAACACGTCCTCCACAATAGGTTTTGTTCATTGTTTCTTAGCACGAGACTAGGGGAAGCAATATCCAAGTGAAGTCCTCACCTATAGAATTCTCCTCGGTTTACTTTCCTTGTTTGTGTATTTTGTAGTTTTCTTAGTTTTAAACCCTAAACTATTTGCTAGATAACAACCTAAGAAATTGAAGTAGGGGTACATGGACCGGCCCGGGTTTGACAATTAAAACATACTTGCCCTATACTGCACTCGGCTAGAGTTTATGCTTGAGCTCTAGTCGGGATTTAAATCGCGGGGTATTCCGTGCGAGTCATGGCCTTTAAATAATCAAGTATACATTTTTATTGAAGGGAGACAAACGTTAGATGAAACTAGTAATAGAGGTTCAAGTGGGGATACAAGTCACCTTCTAAAAGAGGGAGGGACGCTCCCACCCCAAGCTCAAACTCAAATGAGAGCAAAAGATAAAACTAGGGACACACCCACTGGGCATATAGCTAAACACTACCGCTATCAATCACAACCTGCCTTGGGAAGTTTATCCCAATCATATCTTCACGCATGAGCCTTTCAAGATCCATCGGTAGTTCATTAAGTTCATACATGCCAAAGGAATAGACAAGATTGTGCTTCAAGAGCCAGTCCACGACTTTATTCTCTTCGCGATACGCATGAACTAAACGAACTAACCAACTCTGAGCAAGCTCTATGAATTGCATTTAGCAAAGTGGCGAGAGGATGCACCAGGTCTGTTCTTTTGTTAATAAGCTCAATCACCATATTTGAATCGGTTTCGACAATCAGGCATTGAATGCCTTTCTTCCATGCTAGATCATGCCATGGTGAATACCCCATAGTTCAGCTTGAATGGCAGAACCAGTATCGACTTTGCAAACAAATCCTCCTAGCCGGTCACTTCCAGTGTCTCTGATGCATCCTCCTACTATCATGATTCTTGGATTTCCCTGGGAAGCATCGTCAATGTTAAGCTTGGTCCATCCTGCCGGTGGTGGTGTCCATCCTATAAGTTGTTCTTCTCTTGTAGGTTTTGTTAAAAGGTTCCTTGCTTTTGTAGCTCTTTTCCAAGTTTCAATCCAGTCTTTAGCTTTTGAAATGATGTAGTTGATGAGTGTAAGGCTGGATATTCTGGAGGATTTGAAGATATAATCATTCTTGTGTTTCCATATATACCAGCAGATAAGAGCAAAGAAACTAGACCATTCCCCTGTTTCCTCACTAGCCTCATTGTTAGCTATATTTTCCTTCAACCAATCCTCCTGGTTCCTGGCCAACAAGCTTGTTGTAGTGGTAATGGAATTAATTTTCCCAGACTCTTCTGATCTTGTCTCAATCTCTCAAACAGTGGATGTTGGATTTGATATCAGCATTGCAAAGGGAGCACTTGTCATTGGAGGTGAGGTGTCTAACTTTCCTTATACACACTCAAGTATACATAACACCAAAGAATTATAACATGAAACAAATGTCTTTTACTCGATCCCCTCTCTGGTCAAAAGATGAGCATGCCTTCACATTACAGAATTCTCCATATTGAAAATCATTTATCTGCAAAACATGGAAACAGA